GAGAGCTAAAATTTTCATTATATTGCATGCCTAATACAATATATTGGCCCATCACCTATACAGATGAGGTCAAGATCCCACCATTCCACTCCATTAAATACAAAGTCATCCTCTGGCAGAATTCTTCCTTTGGAAGAAGATGCTTTGCTTTGGTAGAAACAAAGTCATGGAAGCAAACCAGAGAGAATAAATACTGAATTCCTTGGCAGCAAAGCCCACTGAACAGCACTTACTGATAGGGAGGCTGAGATCCACCCCAGACCCCCTCTGCCCAGTTCAGAGGAACACACACAATGTTTCCCCCACCGTGCAACTCAGTAGCTTGCTTACTTAATGGATCCATTATGTGAAGAGTTACTTTAAAAATAGGATTGCCTTAGAATGGAAAATTGATCATGCTGCCGAGAGCAGGTTTAATCAGTAGTTATCTTGGGTGTCCAGTTCTCTGACAGGAAGCCTGTGAGTCAACAATGCTGGAGGCTTTCAAAACAATGAATGCAGCCACACTGCAAGATTCTCTTATTACTTCCACTGGGAAGATTTTTAAAGCCAAACTACCTGCCCAAATGAATTGTGACCATGAAGCAGAGAGCAATTGACAAGAGGCAGTTCCAAATTATTTGAGATCTATTTTGTACTCACCCTGACCTGGATATCCCAGGCTAGCCTGATCTCATCAGATCTCATAAGCTAAGCAGGGTCAGCCCTGGCTAGTATTTGGATGGGAGACCTCCGAGGAATACCTGGGTGTGTCGTGGAGTCAGGCAATGGCAAACCACCTCTGAACGTCTTTTGCCTTGAAAACCCTACAAGGTTGCTGTACTTCTCACCACCATTTTGTATTCACCTCATTCTCCAACGTCCATTATGCTAAGGTTAGGCTTCTTTTGAATCCTTTGCACCAGGCATAACATATGGAACTCCGTGCCACAAGGTATAGTGACAGCTGCTATCTTAAATGACCAGGGATTAGACTAAGTCACAGAAGTTAGATTCATCATCAGCTGTTAACCAGGAAGGTCCATTGTATGCCTCCCACAGACAGGGATTCGGGGCAGAATTTTGAGATGGAACATTTAACACAGGACTTTCAAAAATTGTGATCTCACATGCAAGTATGAGAGGGGTTGTCTCTGATCAATGAAGATGTGTGCAAAAGACTACATCAGAACCCAGTACGACCAGCCTTTCCCTTCTGACTTTCTAAAACTGTCCTGATCTTTGCCTTCCCTTTCCCGTCATGTTTTTCTCGCTTTGCATCATTTTAATTCCTTATTATTATCCCCCCCCCCCAAGTTGGGATATTTTGGAAGCTCCTCAGCTGGAAGGACTCAATCCAGGAACATGAGCAAGAACAGGTAGCTATGCAAACTGCTTTAGAATAAAATATATAGAACTCAGAAGGCTTGGCTTAGCATTCAGCCAAATGGGTTGGAGGTGATTGGGAGGCTGGGCTATTTCATATGCTATCATGATGTGAGCATGTATTGTGTAGGCCTATAACATTTTTTTACTGTCCATATTTGTGTTTTTCATTTATGCATTTCACCGATGGTCTTTTAAGTTCTTTGCATTAAAGCACATTAAAATTGTGCACATTTTTTTCACTGTCCATGCTGTTATTTTGAGGGATTGTGCATTGCACTTAATTTCCATTAATTTTGATCAGTTAATAAGTCTTTGTGTTCCTCACTGATCAGTGTGCGCCCACTGGGGCTAATTAGGACCCAGGCCTTCACTTGTGCCCAGCCTGAAGGAGAATGTTGGTGCTCAAAAAGCTTCTTGATGCTAGGCAGTGTTTTAATTAGCCCTCTTAAAAGGTATTTTCCCTTGAAGTTTTGGGTAGATTTTAATGTGTGTGTTAACTCCTCAGTATTTTAAGGCAATAAATGTTCTTGGAGCAATGACACACTCAGTCCCCCAGAGCTATTCACTTGCTGAAAAGGAAAGCCTCAACTATTTTACAGCATTCTTCATTGTGATACACAGTGTAGTGTTGTGGTTAGAGTGCCAGATTTGGATCTGAGAGACCCAGGTTTGAACGGAAGCCTGCGGGGTGACCTTGGGCCAGTTACACACTCTCAGTCTTAACCTACTTCACAGGGTGTAGCGAGGATAAATGGAGGAGAGAATGATGTAAGTCACCTTCAGTCCCCATTGGGGAGAAAGGCCGGGTGTAAGTAAAATAAAAAAATCAGCCATTCAGTTCTTATCCAAGTTTCAGGAATGCCTCTGATGTGCCACTAGGGGGAGACAGCCAAATTAAATCATTTCAGCAACAGAGCCAAGCAGCTAAGAGGACTGATTCAGGTGGGAAAGCCCTGTTGGCCTGAAGCAACAGAACAAAGTTTGAGTCCAGTAGCACCTTTAAAACCAACAAAGATTAATCTGGGTATAAGCTTTTGTGTGCACGCTTACTTCTTGTGCGTGCACATGAGAGCTTATACCCAGAATTTGAAGGTGCCACTGAACTCAAACTTTTGATCTAAGAGGATTATTTTGGGGGGGGGGGGGGGAGACAGCCCCACCCCCACATTTTTTTGTATTGAAGGTCCAGCCTTTTAAAGAGTTCTGGAGAACTCAGAATCATGCAGCCTGTTGGGACAGCTTGGTTGGTCCTGATTAACTTTTGGAATTCTTCAAAAAAAAATTTCCAGGGGTGGGGCTGAGACGCAGTGAAGCCTCATACTGGGAACACTGGAAGTTCCATTCACACACACTCGATGCGTGTACAATCTTGCTAAGCCACTGATGCACGTTTTTAAAAAGTTATCTTTCCAATCCAGAGGACTAGACACTTACTTGGGGATTCTTTGAAACGCAAAAACAGAACACTTGAGGACACCCGAATTCCACGCTTCCATAGCAGATATGCAACCCTGGTTGCTCAGGATCTATGGCTTGGTCTCCGTGTTCAGGGACTGAAGTGGTACTGAAAAGGGAGAGCACTGAAGTGTTTTCCAAGTTCCACTCCGGTTTACAATTCCCTGGCAGTTGAAAGCCAGCAAAGCAGAGGAAGGGCTTTCTTCCCAATGTGCTCATTATTAAATTTGCAGAAAGTTTTAAAAGGCTGTTAGCAGGAGAAGGCCCACAAAGAGACCCCCCCCCAGCTAACACGGGAAACTGCCTGCATGCTTCTGCTAGGCTCTGACATGAGGATGATCACTGCTGACCTTGGTTTAGAACCTTCAGAATCTTCTGTGGCACACGCATCTGCCTGCCTCCCACTTGTTAGTCCTGCAGCAATCATCAATGAAGCTATTTGCCTACCAAACATTTTCAGTCCGCGGATCTGATCCGGCAAGGAACGTCACCCACAGTATTTTCAGCAGGCAGCCCCCAAGGCAAGCCTGAGTGCAATATATCCCACAGAAATATCTGTGCAGGCTTCTTTTCTGCTTGCAGGGCTCTCGGTGCCGAGCTCAACCCCTCCGTCCCGAGACACCCTCGCCCCAAAAATACAAACCTGCCAATGCAAACACTGGTTTGATGGTTAAAAAAATTCTGGGTTTTTTTTATTGGTTCTGCTAGACAATACTAAAAAAAAATTCCCTCCATTCTGAAAGGCAGGGCTTGAATTATTTAAATTTTGATCCATTTGTTTTTTTAAAAAAACAAACACACACACAAAAGGGAAAAGGGGAGAAGGGATCATGGCAAAAAGAAAAAAAAGAGAAGTCCTTTGTGACCTCATCATCTGGGTCAGGGCCTACTTCATTTACTTCGCCCACCCCAACGTATTCCTAAGGCAAATGACGTTTACAGACGACCATCAGCAGTCAATCTGGGGGATGCCGATCGGACGAATGAACACGACAGATCTGTGGCCGAGACTCAGGCTGATCAGAAGCATTCAAAAATAGTGGGTTCAGTGTCTTCAGACCAGATTTCAGACAAGGACTGGTGAAGAGGACTATGCCATAATGAATACTCTACCACTTGCAGGTAGGAGAGAGAGAGAGAGAGACCATTTTTGCCACCGTAGAGCGGCAACTTCCCATTTAGTTCCTCCAAGGCCACGGCCCCTGAGCTCACCTGCTGAAGTTATGTTCAAAACAAGAGAAGCCACAGGAGCCCATTTCAACACCGGCAGGGCTTTCTTTTCAAACTGGGCGTGCAGCAAGGCCCTGTTGGAAGGAGTCAAATAACAGACATTGTGCTTGCTCGAGATGACTCGAGAGGAGGAGCAGAAGTTAAAACGCATCGGCTTTACCACGCTGCAGAGAGAAGACGAAGGCATCACGGACATCCTAGTAGCGTTCATTTACCTGCAGTCTTCTTGATTCAAGAGGGAACTGCAGAAGATCTGGACTGGACATGCCTACAGGTGTACTTAACCCAAGCCTTTTCATGCCCCCAACTCCTCTGGTTGGGTTTCAAAAGGCTAACAGCATGTGGTAAACTCATAAGTGCCACCCACCCCCCTGCCCCTGCCAGCCTATAAAGCCCTGGGAAGGGAAAGCTAGCATACCCACAAACCCTAGCTCTCTGGGAAGAACAAAACTGCTCCAATACTGTAGGCTGCCAGGTAAAAGCCATGCCAATCTAATGGTACTAACAGAGCTCCAATTTATGGGAACGTACTTTAAAAACAAAAAAAACTTGTGAAATCCTCAGGAAATAAAGCCTACAGATCAAATGTTATATTTGCCTTCCCACCATCAACCCAGGCAGGGCATGACCGGGCAATCTCTTGAGCTTCCAAATGTGTCCGACCTCCATAACGACACATAAAAATGCCCACTGCAGAAGGTCCGATGGGTTTAAGCTTGATTTTTTTTTTGCCATGATCCCAATTCAGAGTACTGCAAGAAGCAGAAAATATTTAAAGGACATTTTATATATATATTTATATATATATAATTTTGAGATAAGAAAAATAAGGCTAATTCAAGCCTTGCCCTGTGCAAAACAAAAACCAAAACGATATCGCCGGTCACACAAAAGGTCCCGATTACATTACCACAGTCAGCTTGTTAATTTTCATTCTTTTTTCTCTATTTTTTTTTAATGGGAGGACATTGGGGAGCTGAATTCTCCTGTGGTACAGGAGGAGGAGGAGGGGGACTGATGTGGAATCAATTTCAGTAAAGCTAAAAAAAATGATGAGAGACTTCTGGGAGGGAGAGAAAACTCAAAATAACAACTTGGCTGACTGTGCTAGGGGGAAACACCTGGCGGGGCAGAAATGAAAGAACCTGTTAGTCAAGTAATGGATGAGTGTTTTAAATTATTCTCTTGTTTTGTTTTGTTTTTAAGCCTAAAGTTCGGAAGTGGTGGGTCCCATCATTACAGGGCCACCGCGAGAACAGAAGTTGAACCCCCCTGCCCTCCCCCGACCTCTTTGAAGAAGTCTGTGTCATCTGCGGCTGCGTGTTCGAAGGATATCCCCCAACCCCACCCCATCCCCCACCCCGCAGGAGCAATCTGTCGCAACCAAGGAAGGGCAGGCGGGACTCAGGACGAGAGGGCGCTTTCCTTCTGTGTCGGCTGGACTTGTGAACGCTGCATCACCTTTTGGCTTTCGACATCTCTAAAATGTTTCTCGACCTAAATGAAGGAGAAGAAGGGTGTGAGGGAGTTAGTGCTGGTCTGTACATGCTTGGGGGGAGTGGTACTCAAAGAAGGCGGGCAACTTAACAAGTTTGGTGATTTGGGCTGAGTTCACTGGAAGCAGAGGCAAGACCATTTCAAAGCAGGGAGTGGCCATGCATGAAGCATCAGGCTTTCAGCTGACCCAGACGGCAGAGTCTGGCCTGGGAAGCAGAGAGCGCAAGGAAGCCCAAGGGGTGGGAAGCATAGGTTGGGGAGGTTTGTGGAGCCTGGCGCATGGTAAGGCATGCCCCTTTTGCACTGCAAAGGATCATATCGTATCTGCCCTCTCAAGCACTTCTCATGGCTAGGAATCTTTCCGCTCGGCTCTGCTACTGCAGCACTGGATCAGACCCATTCCATAGGAAGGGCGGGGTTTTAAAATCGCTTCTTCATCTGGAAGACTGACACTTGCATTTGGAAGCGCAAACCTTAATCAAACTAAACCTAGCAGAGCTTTCAAAAGCAGAGAGAGGTGGGCAGGTTATTTAACGGCCTGGGTCGCAATATGACCCCAGCTGCACTTGTGCAGCTGTCTTTTAAGCCACGTCGACTGCCCTCCCCGCTGCTCTTGTGCCCCCCCCCCCACGAGCCACGAGCCCCTGATCTACTTACTATTTTGCGTACATGACTGAGGGCACTCCCCTCTTTGCCTTTACAGTTTTCCACTTGGTACGGAGGGGCAATGACGACGTCTTCCATCACAACTATATTCTTCTCTTGCCATTTACAGTCTTTAATGCTGGAAGAGAGGCAACACACAAAAAGGAGTTTTACTGACTACGTTCACAGGGTCATTCTGGCCAGGCACCCAACCTGCCCGGGAAAGGGGAGAACAGGACCCAGCTGCTCACACCTTCGCCCCGCGGCCACCATCCCAACTATGAACATCATTAGACAGTATACAGTGTCACCAAGGTGATGGACGCTATACAGATGTGGCAGCCATGAACCCAGGAGAATCAAGAATGCAAATGGAAAGGACACCTTCTTGATAGAATTATAAAGCCTCTTCTCCAGAGCAAGGGCACACAAAGCAGTGTATCTGTTGCGATAGCCGCAAAGGAAAATGCACACTTGGCATCTTTTAGATGCATACAAGAATCAGCCAGTTTCAGGAGGTTCAACAACCCATTTCACAGATCCTCAGTGGTCTTGGTATGACTCATATCTACTGATCAGTTTGCATCTCTTTGTGTGCATCGCATCAGCACTCAAGTTGACCACAATTATGTTGCCAAACACTAAGATACAAGGGGTGGGGTGGGTGGGGGTTCATTCCTTTGGGGGGGGGGGATATTCAGAGACTGATTATCAACTTCAAGT